CCTGCAATGTCCTTGTCGCGAATGTGTGGCTGCCCTGAGCGGCTGGCGCGGCTCGTCAGGGTCGGGGACCGAACCGGACCGGACCGACCGACCAGCAACCGATCGGGAATTGGGACACAACCCCAGTCTGTTTTGTGCGGTTTCGTGGCCCCTCCCCTCCCCTCCCTTCCTGCTACGGGTTGAGATGAGAAATTGAATCGAGGAATGCACCGATGGGGGGGGGGGGGGGGCGTAGGGGACTTTTCGGCAGGTGAACACAAATTTGGAGGGTATGTCATCGCTGCATAGGGCGCGGAAAGATCACGTGGAATAGGCCAGTGAAAGGAAGAGATATGGTAACAATGTAAGTGGCATGGTCATACCAAGTGGTCGGGGTCGTTCCGGGAGGGAGGAAAGGAGGCATTGGGGGCACAAAAGAGTGGCAGTCCCTTGTATTCACGCCCGTCGCACCGCTGAGGGCGGAATGCTCCTCGCCTAGCATATTTCCCCGTTTTTGACAAGACTGTGATGTAGCGGCAAGCCGAGCGCTGAGAGAACCGCGAGAGCGTGGAAAAGGGGAAGAGAGAGGGGGCGGGGGTGGGGCTGCTGTCCAGAGTGAGGGGGTGCCTCCTAGAACCACTTCCGCTGCGCCACCGCGTCCCCGGGGGAGGGGGTGGGAGGGGATTAGCATGGCTTGGCGAAGACTAAGAAGGGTTGTGGCAGGACCAGTATGTGGAGGGTGGTGAGGTGCCCTGTGGGCGGACGGGGGGTCTGGCACCAACCAGTGTCCTGGGGGCACCGGGCGGGAAAGAAAAGCTATCTCAAATTCTCAAACAGTGTATTCGGGCTAACGGAGGAAGAAGAATAGCGGGTGAAACAAAGGTTCCTGATCGCTCGAGCCTTTGCCTCCACTACCGGCGTAACGCTACGTAGAGGGCAGAAGCTCTCCACTACTCCCGACCAAACAAGAACGTTAATCTTCTACCCACTTTTCTTCTTCCTCCGTTCGCCAAAGTACACACTTGGCTAAAAGGGGCTGTCCATAAACCACTTGGACACACATTGAACACTTTTCGACCCACCTCGGTCCCCGGTCTCGCCTCTCTTGTGGACAATCGTGGATTTATTTTTGCCTCAAAACGGCGAAATGTGCGAAGATCACGTGTCCACGTGGAAAGTATACCCCTCCCCTTGCCCTTGGGGACAAATCGAGGATCTTTCGAACCCACTCTCAAAGGCCTACGTGCTTTATGGACAGCCCCTATGAAAGCATTTTCTCCGGGGGGGGGGGGGAATGCCCCCGCGCCTCCCTGCCCTCTCACGCTGTGCGACAGGTTCTGGGGCAAGGTGATGGCCCGGGGCGGAGACTACACCGTGCTGGAGGCCGAGCTGACTGACGACGAGCTGGACAGACGGGCGGACCTGCTCGGCCCCGCAGACCAGGCGGAGCTGGAGGACGTCCTCAACCGGAAAGTGAGTTGGGATCGGGCCGGTGAATCGAGGACAGGGAAGTGAGAGGCGAGAAGACACGTTCTTATATTTCTTCTTCTTTTGCCCCGAGGCTCTCGCGGCGGAGGCATGCCACCGGGTTGAGCGGCATGGGTGGGGTGCGCGTAGGGGGGAGGAGGGTGCAAGCGAACCCAGAGAGTGGGCCTCTGACAGCTCGCCGAGGAGGGGGGTGGTCCAGGACCTTAAAGACACTCCTTCGTATCGTTTGGCAGACAGGACACACTTGGGACACACAGTTAGTTCCAAATAAAGAAAAAACTTTTAAAAAGTTAGCTAAGTAATGAGTATCTAAAACTTAATTTCTTGAGTTTCAGAGTTTATTTCTCATATTATGTATTGCATTATTAATCATTTCAACATAAGGGACATAGAGTGTTTAAGACAAATCAAGGCATACCTAAGGAATAGTATATGTGATTCGACGCTCATAAAATTGGTATTATAATGGTAACAAAGGTCTGACGTTCCAAATGCAAAATAAAACTATTTCAACATTTTAAAGTCAAACTTGATGTTTATGATAAGACACGCAATTTCATTGACATAGTACTGCATGACATCATTACTCTATTCACAAACATCAAACAAAATGCAACTGAAGTACTTTTCAAATATTTGCAAACTTGCAAAGCTTGTCTGGAATTTTAAACAGACCGCCGGAGCAAATCCATTAAATTTTTCTCGTGCCCGGGCAGTTGATTGTAGCCTGGCTACAGACAAACAGCAATATGATTTTTAGAAGAGAGGCTGCCTACACACTTCTCTCTGCTGGCACGGTCTAACCTGGACTCCGCAAGAGACCGTTGGTGTGGATACAGAGTTCACGAAACGCAAGCGTGATTTTCACGCAAGGCGTGGTTTTTCACGCCAGGCGTGATTTTTCACGCTACGTAAGCTTCACACAGCCAATCAGGAACCGACTTTCATCACGCCTGGCGTGAAAATCACGCCTAGCGTGGAAATCACGCTCGCGTTTTGGGAACTCTGTATCCACCTTTGTTCGCACTGGTCAATGGCAATCGAATGGGCACCCCGACGGAGGTCATTGTTTACGACATGTTTGTTTCCTCTCACCTGCCACACCACACCAATGTTTCGTTCATCAAAATTTCATCCGCAGCTCTACTTGGGCTACCTAACCTCGCCTCCGCATTTCCCACCGCATCACGACGCACTCACTCACCATGCGGAGGTTACTCGACGAACATTTGCAATATTGGAATATAACTTACCAATGTCGTGTATCATGTTTCAAAATACAATAAGTGTAATCAAACTGAAAAAAAAAAACCGTCAACAATCACAACGTAACGTGGTCTGTTTTGTGCGGTTTCGTGGTCCCTCCCCTCCCCTCCTGCTACGGGTGGAGATGAGAAATTGAATCGAGGAATGCACCGATACGCTTCGAACAATTTCTCACCTCCCCTGTCACAGGGCGATCGAATGATCGGATAGCTCCCCGAGAACGCCCCACTTCCGCCCTCCCACTACCCTCTCACCCCATTTCAGTTGATTTAGACGACGTTTCCGGTTGTTTTCAGTGAGCTCTCCGATCAACCTCCTGGTGTTCTACCTGTCGAAAAGTTTTCTGTTCGATTGTGCAAACGATGCCGGTGGGCGTGCAGGTGTACCTGGTGTGCAGCGACCCGTGCGGCGGCGGGGAGTGGCGGGAGCTGCCGCCCCTGCGGCCCGCGCAGGTGGTGGCGGCGCGGGGACGGGACCGCTGCCCAGCGCTGCTCTCCGGCCGGCTCGACTCACACGTACGTAGCAGTGCGTAGCGCGACGAAATGACGCGAGGTCCACGGGTACCACAGCAGCTGCGAAAGTGTTCGCAAAGCTTTCCCTCGTTTCAATGAACTATTCTTAAATTCTTTCAAGAGAATCGATTACTACACGCGGCGTATGGCACCCCGCTGAACAACGCCTTGGCCCGACCGCAGGTTCGGGACTTCCCCGGCACCGAGGCCCACCTGCTCCACGCGCAGGTCGTGCGCATCGCCGCGTCCTGCTCCGTGTCCCCCGCGGGCGCCTACACGCGCTCACCGGCCACGAGTCAGGACCTCGCGGGTGAGTCTCCCGCCGGCCGCGCCCGCCCCCGCCCCCGCGCCCGCTGCTGACACGTTCAGATCACCACGCCGGGCCGGCATACGACTCCCTCCCATGCCCACCCGCGCCACGAGCATCCAGCATGCTCAAAGAGAACGTGCGTCCCGGCGCCGTCACGGTCCCGCCGCTGCTGCCCTTTACGACGTGTTTTTATGAAGGCGTAAAGCGACCAGGTCCATCTTTATCGAGAGGCGGGAGGCTCCCGAGGGCCTCGGCCGCCTCGGCTCAGCTTGGGCGGCTGCTGCCTTCTGGCGCATGCCAGTGGCCCGCGAACTCTGGCAGAGACCTCACTCAGGGGTCAGGGCCGCCGTTTCAGAGGACGAGCTCGGTGTGGTGCTGGACGCTGACTGGCTGGGCGTGCCCGGCAGCGTCTCCCTGGCCGAGCTCGCCGACCCGGGGGTGGCAGCCTGGGTTCACCACGCGCCCTGCCTCCTGCAGAGCGGCCGCCCGGCTGACCCCGACCAGGTAGGCGGCGTCGGGCTTCGCGACCCCACGGCGCAGCGATGTCCGCGTCACCTTGACCGTCCTCGCGACTGCAACAGCGAGAGGAGGGCCTGAGCGAGGACGGCGCCGAGCAGCAGGAGGAAGAGGAGGAGGAAGAGCCGGAGGAGGAGCAGGACGCCGACGACCTGGACGACGCTCTTGTGGAGGACCGGGACAGCATCCAAGAGGGGCACGAGGAAGAGGAGGAGGATGGGGAGGAGACAGCTAACGAGCTAGGGATGCTGGAGGACGAGAGCGCCGAGGAGGTGCCAGCGCTGCTCACCACTTTGGACCAGGACGCCCCGCTGTGCCCCCAGCAGGGCGCTGGCTCCCCCGCGGTACGTGGCCGGAGACCGGGAGGGGTATCGAGGAGAGAGGCCAGCCGGAAGGGTCGGAGGACCCGGAGGACGCTGAGCGGCCAGAGTGACCTAGTAATCGCTTCGGCCCTCATCAGCAGTGGACGCCGTCCTGGGCGGTGCGGGTGTGCTCGCCGCTGCTGCTGCCGGCCGTTCTGCTGCGCTCCCTCAGGTGGCCCGGCGCGTTCGCCTTCTGCAGCGGCAGGTGCGTTGAGCAACAACTTGCGGAAAGAGCGATAAAAATAATTACGTGTGCGCCAACGGCCGCCGGCTCTCGCCTCACGGCCGGGGCCCGCCGGTGCGCCGAGATGCGGTGGGGTGGGCGGCGAGCGAGCGCCCGCCGTCCGCCGGGTAGGCCATCCCGCGATGCACGCGCGCCACGCGGGCCTGCCGGCCCTCCCGGCGCCATGGCGCGAGCGCAGCGCGCCGCGCAGCACCGCCCGCCGGGGGATTCAAGAGTATCCCGCTGCACACCCGTGCGTGCCCCTTTACGAGCATTTGATCCTCTACCGCCCCTTCCCGCCGCGCGCCCGGCCCTGGCGCTTTGTTACAGCTCTGCGATATGTGTGAGAGAAGCGAGCAGAGAGTTTGCGCCGAGATTTTTTTTTGTGCCTCCTCTGCTCGCCTGTTTACCTCCTCTCTCTTTCGCGCGCCCGTTTGCACAGCGCCGCGCCGGCTGGGCTCACTCATTACCGGAGCAGCTTGAGCGGGGCGCGGCGTGGTGCGGCGAGTCGCGAGCCGGGGTCAGCGCATTGATTTCTCCTCTTTTGTCTTCTTTCTTTTCAATTCGCAGAAAGTTCGGCTACATCTACTTTGGTTGGGCGGTAAAGGCATCGGCTGGGGCCTGCCCGAACAATTGCGGGGAAGACTTTGACGATGAACCTGCAACCGTCGTCGCTGCCAGCTCTGCGCCCTGACTGAGGAAGGGCGCGCGGGCTTTGGCTCGCCGGGGTGCGCCACCTGAGCCTGAGACCTGCGATCGAGACCGTGGAGGCGGTGGGGCGTAGCGTGACATGTGAATGTGACCAAGAGCGCGGGCCTCCGCTCGCTGGGGCTCACCTGTCGATCTGACTGATTTCCCAGACCTTGGAGCCTATTTCCCTGGGTGGTAAAGGGCGCAACAAATCAATTGTCATGCTGAAACTGAGTCCGGGCCCGGGCGATTTTCTGTATTTTATGGTCTTTTAAAAAAATGTAACAAATAATGGTACGAAACTGTTTTTTGATGCGTCAATGTGGTTCCCCCACGCCTTGCCACGATTCGCGTAAAATGTGGGAAAATCTGCGTCTAGCTAGCTCGTAAAGATATTTGTTTATGCTGTCGAGTAGAACGTCTCATAAAACTTACTGGCAGTTTCACATTTGTAAATGGGACAAAAATGAAAAATAAGTTAATGAGTAAACGATGCGATACATATTTCTTCTTTGTAAGTAAATAGAACACGATACGCGAAACGTATTTTTGGATGCAGGGTACATACTGGTCGTAGAGTTGGAAAAGAGGAAAAAAAGGGGGCGGTGTAATTAACCCGTGGATTGCGGCGACATCCGATACAGGAGCCGCTGGAGCTGAAACAATAATTGAAGTAATTATGTGTTTCCGAATGAGATGACCGCGGTTGCCGAGCTATCGGACCGCGAGCAGCACGGCCCGGGAAATACCAGAAAAAACTACCCTCTCCTCTCGCTTCTGGTGCTGCTCTGGATTCCCAAGTAATTGAATTGTTGTTGGTCGAAGCAGGAGTGGAGGGGAGAGGAGGGGTGTGCGGGAGAGGGGAAGGCAGTGCGCGGGCTGCGCGGGCCTGTCCAGGCCGCTATAGAGGCGGGGGCGGGGGCGCACAGTCACCGTACTCGACGACTGACTGATACAACGGACCACTAGTCCGAGCAAACAGAACCCGGACGCACCCCCACCGTCACACACTGGCCGGGCTTCTGGGCTTGCCACTGACTTCTTGAGAGGTCGCTCGCGTTGTATGAACGAGTAAAAGAAGACGGGGGGAGGGGGGGGGGGGTCGAAAATGAGCGAAAATGAGGTTCAAAATAATTTGAATTGCACAGTTGAGGATTCTTTCGTCTTGGCTTGGAAAACGTTTTGGTAGGCATAATGTATTGTATTTTTCTGTGATTACCAGCAAACGAACAACCAGTCAGACAACGAGACATTATTTGTGCTGACTCCGAGAGCAACAGGTTACTATAATCGCTCCGCCAATCATACTCTTATCCACAAACGACTGAAAAAATACGCCCTGTTTGAAGGCAACTGGAACGTTAGGAGTTACCTGATAAATCAAAAGGGCAGCAGAATAAGACATGCAAATTGTTTATTTTTTTCGTCGGGAGTAATAAGGGCATTTACAAGCCAGCTTTGCACACCTACAGGAACAGTAACAAAAAGAATACGGGGTGGGGCAGAACCGTCTGCCCCATTCATTAAAAAATATGAAAACATTTTTAAAATTTTTTTCCAAAACTTAAATCAATGTGAATGTTTATTTTTGCATTCTGAAGGTAGGTCATTACTATGTGATCGAGTGGCAAATAGAGAAAGTGCGAGTTCGGAGCTGTCCAGAATCATAGTCCTTTGTTCCAAGCGTTTCTGTCATGCAGCCTTTCGGAAATGAAGACAAGGGACGTAAGGCAAAGATGAAAATATCACACATATATATTGATACACAACACGTCTCTTTCTTTTGTATTTCTTCTGTGTCACGTCGTTCCGCTGGTGAAGTATTTCGATTCCAGTTTGTTTTTAAACCCTCAGTTGTTGCGTAGTGCAGCCGCTGTCAGCCGCCAGACTCAGGCCTGGTCTGGGAGGCTGGTGACCACGGACTGAACTGACTCCACCTCGCTCGTCTCTGATGATGCTGTCATGTGTCGGAAGAAGCGCGGGAAGCGCTTGGCCAGCGCGGCGCGATACTTGGGGTGGCTGTGGACAGAGCGACAGAGACAGAGTAGTCACAGGGCCCTCAGCCGTCACTGCCGCCCTGCTAGCACACTGTAAAACCTAAGGTAAGGATCACGGGTGACCGACAGCACTACTCGACAGTGAGACAAAGACAAAGCGGTCACAGACTCGCCGTGCTCACACTCTGAAACACCTGAGGCCGTCACCGACATAGTGAATATGCTTTGTTCAAATCAATTCATCAAATCATATGGCGACCGTGATATTTTGTCCCCGCCCCCCACTGTTTAGGGCTTAGGGATGTGGGAGTTATCGGGGCTTCAAAATATCGACAAGGATACAGAAATGAAAGGCCCTTTAATGAGGTGATGGCCACGTTAAGGTTTAGGGAGAGAAAAGAGTGCAGGAGTGGCGATCTACGGGCGTCAGTGGGCTTAGAACGAGGCCTTTGCTCAGTGTACCTCACAAACTAATTCAAACCAATTCAGTTTAATGCAAAAAAGTTCAGAAATAATTCAAATTCATTCAAAAACAATACAATGATTTTCAGTCCAATTCAATCCAATCCAAATTAAATTCAGGAAATGTGCACACCCAATTCAGTAGTTATGTACCCCTTGGCTCAGAATCTGTGCCTCCCCCCACCCCATTGCAAGTATATTACAAGCACGCACTGTTGTGATACTGACCTGATGCCGTAAACTATGGGGTTGTACACAGCGTTCGCCTTGGCAAACAGCGTGGCGAACACAGTGGACAAAGGTGTGATGTCCTTGCCGTAGCCGAACACGCCCACGAAGTTGATGACGAGGTACGGCGTCCACGCCATGAACCAGAGTGATATCGTCATGAGCGCCACCTGCACAAGTTTTGCGAGGGTGGGCAAGTAGCCAGAGTGAGATTTTTTTTGCCATGGGAGTTGCTCGACGAGCCGTCGAGGCCCGGGGGTGAATCAAAATGAAACACGCTGCGCCCGATGAGTCCGTCGAATTAAAAATCAAAAAGTACTAACTAATTACCATCGCCAATTTGTTCTCGGAGCTCGCTTGGTCCTGAGACCGAAGGGAGGATATATTCATTTTCTTGGCCTGCTCCCTCATGTTCTTTTCGTGAGCTGCGACGGCCTGTACAGAGAGCCAAAGAAACAATCGCGAGAAGTTTTGAGTGACTAAAGGCAAATTAGTCGTTGTTGCCCACCTTGACTATGTAGTAGTAGGCGTATACAATGATGGCCAGCGGGAGGAAGTAGCACATGACGGCGTACAGAATGACATAGCTGCGACTGATCCACGAGATGTTGAGGTAGTCCCCCCCACAGGTCGTCATGCTGCCCTCCGGCACGTACCTGCATGTGCCAACAGCAGACACTTAGCAACACCGCAACACCAAACTACTACAGTTTTGTTCCAGGATTGAAAGGGGGGATTTTTTCCAAACCTGCTCCAACCAAACACGGGAAACACTGTCCACTTTAGTGATATGGCCCAGACAAATATGATCCACCAGATGGCCTTTTTGTTTGTCATTGGCTTCGCAGAGAGACCCTGAAATAAAGGGGCATTGTAAAAAAAAACAGTAAGAAAATCGCAATACATTCAAATCCACCTGCCTCTCCGCACCTTTACGATGACGTTGTATCGGTCTAATGATATCATCGTCATGGTCCATATCGAGGTGCATCCGAACAAAGAACCGAACATCCCGTACACTTCGCAGAACATGGGCCCTGCAAAAGAGCATCACGCGTTTAGGGACATGGAAGTGTGAGAAAGCAAGGGGCCCCCCCCCCCCCCCGCGCTCACCCCTTCTCTCTTCTCTCTCTCTGCCCGCGGTGGCCACGGTGTCACGTTCAGCTAAATGCTTGGCTACCCACTCGGCGCTCACTTCAAAGTGCAATAATATTGAGCTTACGGTTCATTTTCAAACCCAAATCCTATAGTGGCCAGCATCAAAATGCACTCTGTACCTACGACCCTACACTCTCATTTCATTACTGATGTGCTATCCATTTGCTACGGAGAATTTTGTGCAAACGTAATACGAATGATTTGTGATCCATATTACGTTTGCACAAAATTCTCCGTAAGAGAGTCAGTACGGAAATTAGAGTGCTGCGAGAAATATTTGACTACATCGTTTCGACATAAATCTCCGAGAGCTAACCACTTCTCAAAACTGAACTGGACAGACTATTCCATCTTTCCCTGTGTCGTTTTAAATCACACACAGCACTACACCAAATCCTGTTATTCTCAGTGTTTCCCAATTACGATTTAACTTCCGTGTATCTTCAATATTTGGCTACAGCATAGGAATGCAACGTGACTCACCAAGCACCCACGTTTCGAAGTAACTGTTGAACAGCATAGGCGGCACCATGCAGAACATCATTAGGAAGTCGGAGACTGCGAGATTGACTACGAGCAGATTGGACGGGGTTCGCAGGGACTTGGTGGTGGAGAAGATGTAGACGACCATGCCGTTGCCGGACACAGACATGAGTCCGAGGGACGCCAGCATGAACGCTAGCAGCTTCAGGTGAATGGGGTGCAGGGGCTCGAACCTATACCTGCTCAAGGTAGAGCAAGGCTGCATCTGAGAGGCATGGGGGAGGATAGCTGGAGGATACCGTCGGGGTGGCCCTTACCAGTACCCGCGGATGGTTTGTAATTACTGAACTTGGAAAAATGAACACTTTGTAAGAGTTCGATTCAAGTGGTAAGCTGCAAGTTTGAACACTTTGAGAGTTTAACTTTTCAGTGAGTTTAAACACTCCAACTTTCCAGTCAAACTCTTGCAAATTACTCAAATTTCCTGTCGAGTTCACGCAAACATGTTTCAAAATATTCAACACTGTAATCAGATGATCTAGCCCCCCCCCCTCCCCTCCAAAAATACAGCCGAATTTTTAAAAAGAGCAAACCTGCACGGTCCCCTCGCACAAAATAGTCTCTCTACATTTTATTTGTATATGGTGTGTTCCATCAAGAGTACGACGCGCCCTTCCTTCGCTCTCCTCTGCGTTCTTACCAGTGCGGGTCGACCAGGTAAAGCATGTCATCGAGGACGATATCCACGACGCTGTGGTTGTTGAAGCGGCCGGAGAAGGCTCCCTCGTAGATGGAGGCCGAGGGGCCGTAGAATAACGTCATGCGTTTCTCCCGCACTGCAAACGCAAACAGAGGATTGGCGGCATGATAGGAGGGCGTGCAGGACCTGCAAGGCTGCAGGGCTGCAGGGCTGGCGGTGCTCTTACTGTTGGCAGCAGCACGGGGGCGGCATCACTGGACTACTGCGTGCCCGGCCGCCCCGGGGCCCTTATATAAACACGACATGGCGTGATACCAGGGGATCAAACACATTGCAAAGTGAAGGCGGGGGAGAGAGGGGGCGGCTGGGCTCTGGGGCCCGACGGGGGTGACCAGAGGCCAGGGGCGACGTGGGGGCGGACGTTGGCAATGGGGTGAGTGTCCTGGTCCACCATGGGAAAATAAACTGTCCCGGTATGGAATTACTAAAAACTTTATGGGCGTAAAAGTCCTCGCAACATCAACTCTAGGGAAAAATGATTTCTTATTATTTATGTCGATTCGACCTCAAAAGCGTCGATCGCATGCCGGTGATGTTGGCAACACTGAGACAAAAGACTGCGAATAGCTAGGCTTCGTCGGGGATGACCGGGGATGACGTTACACCAACGGCATCGTGTCGCTGCCCTAGATGGTGCTTCCTCTGGTGCGGTAGTTAGTTCGTTGTTTCGTATCGTCGCAAGTGACCAGCTGTAGAAGAAGCCGCGTTTACATTCAACATTGACTGTCGCTTACCGCTCTCATCAACCATTCTGCCAGACCAGTCCGATTCACTCCCTCCCCTCTTCCTCACAAGAGCGCACCAGGTATATAGTTATGGTTTATGGTATATTAGCTATTGGTGGTCAGTCCGTCCGTTTTCCTAGAAGGACGTCATTGTAAATATCTGTCAATTGATATAGTTTTGACAATTTTATGACCTCTGGGGCGGTACACAACACACGAAACCATTATGCATAATTCTGCACGAATTTGTAAATACTGCACTTGTTCTGCAAGAAAATGTGTGCATATTTATGGCTGTATAAAATTATGAAAACGTCACGTTGACTTGACTTAGACGTGATATCGAGATCACTTTGACGTCAAAAGGAGCTGAAAATGACAGTTATGTCGAATGACATAACTTTGACCGTTTCCTGTTCGTTATGGGGCAAGCAGACGAGTGGACGTGTTGCCGACTCGCACTGCATGAGTATAGTTCAGAAACAATATTGAAACTAATAAAACACAATTTGTCGCGTCGCGACCAGCCTACACGGCTGCATCGGTGCGGTTGATATGGTAACTATACACAGAAGTTCCAAAAGGTCTTTGGGCACTATGTATACAGGCTTAACATAGACCTTGAACATTAAAATTTCAACGTTTTTGTGATTGACCCAAAAGAGTGTGGTAGAAAATAAAGGATATTGTAGAGAAATGAAAACGCAGGATCTCGCTTTGCGAATGTCTGCTTCATTTATTTTTTTCAGGAGGGCCATTACAAAGCCGCTATGTCCGTAAACAGGAGAGAACAATCATTCTTTGGTTAGAAAATGATTTTACGAGGTGAGTAAAAAACTGTTCACTGTATTAGAATTGTACAAAAATGACTAAACCCCGAGTAAGAAAAATGTTAGCAACCAGAGCAAAGGACGTGATTTCACGACAGTACTGAGTACCGAAACAGAGTTTTTGCTATACCTGTTGAAGTAAAAAAATCGGGAAACATCAATCGTATCACTGACAAGATGTTTGTTAACAATTGAATCACTCGGGCTAGCAATGACACATCGAAGCTGCACTTAGAGATTAATGCCCAAGTTCCATCTCGTAGACCAGGTCATCGCCATATCAATCGTAAAAAAAATCGCCAGAAATAGTAGTGTATGGTATAGCTGCAACTAAATCGTAACTGTAATAAATAGACTAATTAAAATTCCTTACAAAAATGCAGTTCAAAATCTATTTATCACATGAGGATATCCAATACTACGATGAGTACATTACAATGAAATAATGTGCAGGAGACCCTTGATGTTTTGTCTATGCTGGGTAAATAAATGCCTATTTTCCTGGACAGCCCGTCGCGCAAGTTATTTAGAATGCTACGGAGCCCATCTCGTCCTTTGTGGAATCCCCAGGAGACATCAATAATCATCTGCAAATTATAAAAGCTTCGTACGGAGGGAGAAGTGCCCGTTTTTTGAGTAATTGAGTAAATCTTTGTTGTAGCACCCGATGTTACGAACGCGGAGAGCGCATGTTCCCGCGAGTCATTTTGCCCTTTTCCAAGAAAGGCTGGGATGGGAGACTCGCCTCCGCTATCGTTCGTCTCTCGGAGATCGCCGCCATTGCGATTCAGGCCTGTTTTTCCATTTCCACCACGAGCAAAAACAAATGCGTGATGAGTCCCCATCAGTGGTCCTCGTTGCTCACGGCCGTCACGCCTGAAGCCACGGAGCTGGTGTCGCCGCCGCCTCCGCCGCCGCCCCCGCCTCCACCACCCTCGGGCTCCGTAGAGCACGCCAGGCAGGGGAACTTCTTGTACAGCGCCACGCGGTACTTGGGGTGGCTGCCAACAGAGAGCCGAGCATACATTGACAGCGGGTCGAGCCGTGGGCGGCATGCGGACGCAGGGCCCACAGGGCCCACCCAGCCCCACCCAACCCCAACCCTGCGTCTGTCTGCACCCATACCGCACCTGATCCCATAGACGATGGGGTTGTAACAGGAGTTGGCCTTGGCGAACAGCGACGCCCAGATGGAGTTGAGAGGCGTGATGATCGAGTGGCCGTCGAACACGCCAACGTAGTTGACGATGAGGTATGGCGTCCATGCCATGAACCACAACGAGATGGTCATCAATGCAATCTGCAGCAAAGCAGTAAGAGCAGTATTACAAACAATATATTGCGTTAATAACACATAAATTAAAGAATAAATGAATCAAAATGCATACACAACATGCGTTTAAGCAAACCAAGGCTAAATTGATCATGCATCGATAGATTTGAAACTTTAAAACCATTCCCTTTTTTCCCCGACGTTAGTTTCCTTTTTTTCGCCTCGCCCCTCGCCCGCCCGCCCAGCACCCCATCTCGAGTCCCAACATGCCCTCCCTCACCTTGGCCAGCTTGCCTTCCGCGCTCTTCTGCTGCGCGTCCGCCGATCTGAGCGACGCCACGTTCATCTTCTTGGCCTGCTCCCGCATGCTCTTCTCGTGCGCCGACACGGCCTGCAACCACACTGCGCTGAGCCGAGCGGACCCGGGCGGAGGGCTCTACCAGGAGGCGCCACCAGGAAGCGCTACCCGCGTGCGTTACCGGTGAGCGCCAGAGGGAAGCGCTGGGGCGTTACACCAGTAGACGCTACTAGGAGGCTTTACCTACCGACACGATGTACCAGTAGCAGTAGATTATGACTTTGAGCGGCAGGAAGTAGCAGAAGTACGAGTACCCAAGGATGTAGCTCCGGCTGAACCAGTCTCTGGTCAAATAGTCGGTCCCACACGCCGTCATGTTGCCTTCGGGGACGTATCTAAGGGAGGAGGGTGGGGGGCGTAAGCAAATGTAAATAACGAAGCGCCGCGCAAACAGCCGACCCCGCACGCAAGTGTATTCCTACCGAATGCAAAATAAAAAAATGAAATGTTTTTGATGTTTCCTTTTTTTAAACATTCACAAAATATATTTTCCAAAAACTGTAATCGTTGTATCAGAGTATTAATACAACAAGCAGAAGGTCAAGGACATGATGAAAAAATAAATAAATAAAAATGTTTATTATGCCTAGTTTTTGCTTATTTGAAAAGATTATATAAATACGGGACCTGTTCCATCCGAAGAAAGGGAAGATGGTCCACACAAGGGAGAGCATCCACGCGAATAGCAGCCAGCAGGCGGCCCGCTTGTTGGTCAGAGGCTTGGCGGCGAGGCCCTGCGGACCAAAGCGATGGGGCGATTGGAACCCAGGGATACATCACTCCACACAAGGGTCGAGGACAGAAGGGGCGACATTGCTAGGGAAGATATGGACACTTTGACCAAATAGTTAAATTTTAAAGGAGATGCCCTGAAAAAAAATATTATAACGTGGTTGAAGAAACTATTTGAGCAGCGAGGGTACAGGTACTGACAGGTGGGAGTGAGGCAAGGAAGGCCACAAGAAGAAGGGCAAGCCGCAGCAACCTTACCTTCACAATCACGTTGTACCGGTCGATGGCGATGAGGACCATGGACCAGATAGACGTGCAACCGAAGAGTGATCCCGCAAAGCCGTAGAGATCGCAGATAAGCGTCCCTGCGGGATAGACCAAAGCAATCGGCATAACGCAACTACTCAATGCTGTTGTGCATGCATTGCAGGATGGCACGTACCTAGGACCCAAGTCTCGTTGTAGCAGTTGATCACCATGACCGGACACATGCAGAACATCAGGCAGAAGTCTGAGAAGGCCAGGTTCAGGACTAAAAGGTTCGACGGCGTCCTCAGCGCCTTGGTGGAGGTGAAGATGTAGATGACCATGCCATTGCCAGAGATGGCCACGACGCCCAGGCAGCCGATGACGAAGCCCAGGATGGCGTGCCACATGGGGTTCATAGGCGGAAACTGGTGCCTGGAACGCGATGTTCGGGTGACAAGCCATCTCCCCGCCTCACTCCCAGCCCCAGCCCAGGCCACGGTCCACGGCCCCTACCAGTGAGAGTCGATGAGGTGCATCATGTCGGGTAGCACCTTGTCCACGACGGAGCCGTTGCCACCGCTTCCACCGCCGCGGTAGCCGCCGCCGCCCCCTGGAGGCGCGCCCCACTGGTACGCGACCCGGGGGCCACCGTGGTGCGCCCACAGGTCGCTGGGCATGGCCATGGCCGCCGCCATCTCTCACAGGAGCCCTGCAGGGGCCCGGGGCCCAGGCCCAGCCCAGGAAGCAGCAGCTGCACAGCAGCACAGGACTCACGCGCGCCCTGGTCGCCGCGGCCGCGCCCACATCTCGGTTCTCGCCTTCCCCCGGCCTCGCCCTGGCCGCCGCCCTCGCGTCTCTGGGGCACCAGCCTGGCTGGGCAGCCTGGCCGGGCTCAAGGTGCAGTCACTGCACCGCGTCTTACCTCGCCCCACCAGAGCCCGGCGGGGCCCGGCAAACTTGCCGACGCAGCATCTTGTACGGGGCTTGCCAAGGGGCCCGAGGGGTGGCGCGGAGCGGGCGCGGGGCCGGGGGTTTGGGGGCTGTAACAAGGCGGCCAGGAGCAGGCTTGAGTCGGTTCTTGTCGCCTTCTTCGTGGTCACCTTTCTCATAGCACACTGTCCCGCGCAACGCTCAATAATGGCGAGCGAGGCGGACACAAAAATGCCTCTGTTACGCGAAAAAAAAAATCAAAAACTCAGTACCGTATGTCGGGGCTTCACCAGTGTGAAGAAATTTGGGCATACTGGCGTATTAAAAATGCGTAAGCCGAGCATGTTTACAGAAAGCAGTAACTATGAACAAAAAAGTTCATAAGATTTTAGTGTGCGCCTTACGGCTGGAGCGAGTTGGCCAGGGGTCGCATACTTGTGGCTAGCGCTCTGGAAACTAAAGTGTGTACTTGAATGCAGTAGCGCCTGCATACCCACATGTATGCAGGGAGTACTGTGCACTTGACGTAGTGTACACTAAATCTCCTGCATAAAATGTATGGAGGTGTTGTGTACTTGACCAAGTACGCACTTACCTGTTGCATACTCGCAAAGTACACAGTACCTCCTGCATACATGTAGGTATGCAGGAGGTACTGCATTCGAGTAGTACTTAGGTTTCCAGGGCGACGAGCCGCGCTTCCTACTGTGGGCGGCGGGCGCACTGTTGATCAGTCGTTTGCAATAAATTTATAAAGACACGTTTTCTTAGTGAAAAGCAAGTAGAGTTCAGCTCCCTAAGAACCGTTCTATTAGGCTAGGCGCGATAGAAAATCCAGAAATGGCTCGCGAACTACGAGTTTGTACCCTGTGACTGCACAATCTGGTACGGTGGCCCACATTAGCAGTATTGATGTTACAAATTTTAGGTTTGTAGTGAATACCGCGTGCTAAAGACTCATCCTTTCCTAACGGCAACAACTCCAACAGTGTCCAAAATGAGACCGCGTTCTGCTGCTGCGTCTCACTCTTATGCTCGTGTGTGAGTGTGAAATTTCATGTTAGTCGAGAAGTCTGAGAGTGTCCTCACTCGACATCTCCCGAAAACCTTCATCAAATATGCAGAAGGGCGATGGTCATTACGCATTCCTTTTTAAAGACTGGCTTCACAACACCCTCGTCGTAATCAAGTTAACATTTGCTGCCACCGCTTCTGCTTCTACTTCCCTTTACCAGTCACCACATATATATGCCCACAGGAGCTCGCCACCCACCACCTAAGGTGGCCGCTAGGCGCCCTAACACCACAGTAAACTTCAAGCGCTTGTGATTGCGTCTTCCAGTGCGTCAACAATTGGCGAGGACACCATGAAAGGACCAAACTAGTGCCCAAAACAATAAGCTTTCCAATGTTTTGCAATCCCCATGATTCATCACCCCCACGATGCGAGAACTGGTTTTTGCAAAATGGAATGCGACACATTTTGTAAGGAGAAACTTGTTGCAAAATAAATTGCGATAACTCTTTGTCGCAAAATAAATTCAATAACTTTGTTACGGCGATATTTTTCAGATAAAAGCCGTTGTCTACGATCCTTGCAAACAAACAATGTACATAAGGTTTTGAACAATGTTTTTGTGTAGTAATACACACCAACTTGTGGGTGTGCAAGTCTATTTTAAAAGTTCATTCCAGCCCTGTGTCGGATAGGGTGGACCGGGTGCCTGTGCAGCCCTTTATTCGATAAGCGGCTTGACTGGGCCGCGCTGGGCGGGTACAAAGCTCTCTAGCTGCTGCGCGGCACCGCGGGCTCCGCGGCGGGGCCCTTCAAGAAGTTAACGGGCCGCAGCATCTGTCTCTCAGCGCGCACGGCTCCGCCCCGCCCCGCACCATGGGTGTAGAACAATGCTGCGGTGTAGTTTGACAGAGGCCCTGGCGGCGTGAACCATACCCCTCCCCTCCCTTCGACACCCCCCGCGGGCACACGTGTTTCGGAGACACGTTGGCTCAATGCACACACGGCGGGCAATATGTCTGCAGACCGCCCCCCTCAACCACCCCCGGTCCCCCGGGCCCCCCGGGGCCTCCGACTACCCCTACGCCGCCCCACACCACCACCGGTCGGCCACGTCCGGAACCACAAGTCGATCGTATGCCGCGTCCTCGTCTCCCCCCGCGCGGTGGATGCGGAGGTGGGGTGCGGGGCCCTGCGGGGGCCCTGGGTGGGGGGCACCCCCCGTGCACGGCCGTGAGGGAGAGGCAGGCGGGAGAGTACGCTGCTGAGCGAGTACCAACCCGGGCGTGCTGTTGTGGCGTGCTCCTCCTGAGACAGAAGCCATACACGAGGGAGGTGACCGGGGACTACCCCTTCTTCGCCTACTCCTTCCTCCGCCCCCTCCTCTTCCTCACTCTTCCCGTTCCCCTCTCACACCCGTCCGGGTCTCGGCCGGACTGGGCACTTTGTGGGCTTTGCTCTACCCTGCCGCTGTTTGACAGCGCGACTCATCACCGACATAGAGGCGCGCCGCTGATGAGGCTCTAGAGGTGCCCGGCGCGTGCAAACCATCACGCTCTGCTAATCTCACAAGTAGAGAGGCTTTCACGATGTTCGTCGATAGAAACTGTTAAACAATAAAGTTATAAAAATACGGTTAAATTTCGAAAACTAGGGTCACACTTTCAGTTGGACTCTAAATACAAGCCTCTTAACGACTCGTATAAGGGATTTTCGAGACAGTGGCGCACGTTCTTCTCGAAATTCTTCTACTTATGGGGCCTGATCGGCGCCTTCGAGACTCAGGATAGGCAATCCCGAAGTACTCGCATGCACTGCTTTGCTATTTGTTGTCTACCCACCAGGCGCTATGCGAGCGTGGCTGAACTCAGATACGTCATAACGGCGATGAATGACGTACTAACTGGATGACCCCTAACAGAACTCTTTTAACTTATTTCTGAGGTAGTTATTTTGGAAAACAATGACAGCTTTGTGAATTAAAGCCGCTCAACATAATTAGATTAGAACAACGTACCGTGCCTACGGCGTGCACTGCTCACGCTCACTACAAAATAAAATAAGAATGATTTGTTTGGCGAATGCCCACTTACTTCCTCTTCGGTGTGGTCTAGACCGCTTGGTTATCTCCCGAAACGAACGATAGCGAAGAGAGGAAACGAACGAGGCACGTTGTGGAGTTTCGCCGTATCTCTTTTTCTTATCGCCGGTAGCGAGGAGCTTCGCAGCAGGACACTTCACCGCTGGTCAGAAACACCGATGCAATCCACGTTGGTGCAGTCCACCAGGCTAGGACGTTCTATCAATTATTGTGCACTAGTTTTATAGGGCTTTACCAAGCTATACGATGGACTGCGATATTTGCTTCGAAGACTACAACCAGGGGGAGCGTTCCCCGAAAATAATGCCGTGTGGACACACCGTATGTCTGCAGTGCCTTCTTCAGGTTGGCAAGAGAGAGTGCCCAACATGCCGCACGGTAAGTACTATATAGGAACTAGAAAAGCTTTCCAAATTTAACAAATTAAGCTATGGGCTAACCACGACTTCTGGGCCCATGCCTCGGCCTATACCTTACACAAAAGGTATTCTGATATCTCATGAGGCGTAACAGGCGCAACAATAACATTATCATCGCCGACCGCTCTAATGTGCACTAATGGCGTAATGCAAAAATGCACTTCAGATACGCGGTAAAAATGTCTGTTTTTGTTTTGATCGAAAAGAGAAAACTTTGTGGAAATGCCTTGTATTGGTGAAGACTCTCCGTATTTCGAGGAACTCTCCTCAAAAAATGTTGGATTTTCTAAAAAGATTCTTCAGAAGGCGAGATCCGAGTTTTACTGAAATATGGGAGCTCCTCAAAGTTTTCCCCCTCCCCTCAAAAAACAAGCTATCGTTTTTAGGTACCGTGTACGCCAAGAACGCATTACCTTCGGTGCACAATGCTTCGCTCGTCTCTACTGGGGCCACGACATTTAACTTTTCTAAATGCTTTCATATCAAAAGGGTGGGGAAATGTCATCGTTGATATAATAAACTGGCTTTTTTCTAGGTCTTCTCCGTTGACGCCGGATCGCTTACCACTAACATAGCCTTATTGCGCCTGTCGGCAGATGTCAAGTAAGCTCTTCTTAAAATGTACAAGCGAGATAACAGAACTCACTTGGATGCACGATGGTATAGCAGTATGCGTGCACTGCCTCTTATAATATTGGAATAGTGAAAGAACAATATTTTCCATCAGTTCTGAAACAATGAGTGCATCATACAGGACAAATAAATTCCTGCAGCCCCTATGAGCTTGACAATATTTAATATGCTAAGCCAATGCCATAGACCAACTAAAATTCACTCTCAGACCTGTACTGATTTTTTCCGTCGGTTAAAACGTAGAATTCTCTACAGCAGGAATTACTGATCGATTTGTCAATCCTTGCGTGTAGTTTCGTTCAATATTTACTAATGAAAAATCAAATTGTCAGTAATGTAAAAACTGATAGATAACTATATAGTCAATATCCCTGCTGCATAAAAACCTAACATAAGTACTGACACAGGGCGGCAAAAAAATCAGTAACAGGTTGAGTGTGAACTTTGCACCGTTGTTAATATTTAATTTTCCGACCTGCGGCAAGATGCGCTGATCTCTTCACGCGTTCATGCAACAGGGTTCCCCGCGGATGGTGCTCGGACTGCCGCGGCTCTGCCACGGACGAGTGCTGGAACGAGCACGACGTGGTGCTCGTGCAAAGAGCACTCAAGAGGCAACTGCATGGCGTAGCAATACAAGCAGCCGGTTACCTCGAGAAGCTACAGGACCAGTGCAAGGGAGAGCAAGCCCTCACAGCTCTCAGTTTGTTATCTCGCGAGTCCTGCAAGCTTTCTGTGCAGGCGGGAGAGAAATTATTGACTGGGACCGTAAGAAACACAGAAGACCCCCTCGTCAAAGCAATGTGGCTCGTATTAGCAGCGAAAGCAAATTTCACAGAAGTGAGCGGCTAACCACAGGTTACAAGATTTAGAGTTAATTCTTATGGGCAAATATTTGATGTGTTAATGCCATCAACATAATCCTGTTTGTTTAGGAAAGACAGACGGAGAGCCCACAGCCTGCAGGTGCAAGTTCTTCGCTCGCTTCAACGCAGCGACCAATCAAAGGGCCGTTGGGCCATGGAATGGACCTGAATAAATTCGTCTTTTGTGGACCCGAAACCAAACAGGAAGAAAAAGCAGCGACACTGAAAGCTGTGCGTGGGGTAAGTGAGCACTTCACAACGCCTGGCCGTGAACAATAATTACTTTAGCTGCGTAAAATATATATATGCTCACTTAAACCTCTTACATTGTGTTCTTGAGATATTCGTGAGATTCTTTTGGATTAGTTTAAATTGGTATTACAGTCAGAAGTTTTGGTTGCAGTGGCAGGTTTTCATTTTTCAACTCATTCATCTGAAACTGCCTTACAATAGGGCTCATACGCATTCAGTTACTTATTCTACTAAAAGGTCTTACAGCAGTTATTAGTACCTTATATACAGCTCTCAGTTGATGAGAATAGCCACTAGCCGAACATTAGCAGATTTGGTAGGAAAACCATAATTTACAGATTTAAATGTGTTTTTGTTTAGCAGATGGTACCTTAAAACCCCTTAGCTTTTACTTTCGAGCAAGTAACAAACAGCCATAAACAAACGACAGCTAAATATGAGAGAAAATTAGGAAACAGACCTATCCTTAAACTTGTAACATCTGCTTTCAAGATCGATCCTTAATTGAGATTTTTTGAATGAGAGAAAGTACCGACTGGAACATGTGGCATCACTCCTGTCCTTAAGGCACGCATACAGGGGTTATATGGCGGAAATTGAATACCTTTCAGGCAGATCACTAGAGACGCGCCTGGGCTTTAGGAGTATTTACTAAACTTTCGGGGAAAATAACGAGCCATGATTTTATTGGGCGGTTGCGATGCCACATGATTCAATCAAATCAGTATATATTTAATTACGCAGTTATGAGTTATTCACATTATTTACACTGGAAAAACAAAGGTGCGACATCCTACCCTTCCACAGATGTTAAACCCGTTCTCAGGTCCCTACCGTGATAAAACAAGTAGTGTGCAACTGTAAGTTGGACACTTGCAAGTGTTCAGCTTTGTAGTAGTACACACCTGAAAGTTTCCTTCTCGGTAGCTGTGTAATTAAAAGTTGGCAACTTCTCAGTTAAACACTTAACAGACAGTGAGCGTCCAATGTAAGGAAGTATTCCAGTAAAGCATTAGACTGCAGTTTAATAATTCTATAGGAAAACACTATTTCGCGGAAAAGGGTGAATGCCATTAATAGGTTGGATTTCCTACCTTTGTTTTACCAGTTTACGGATCAAGGTTGATATACACGAAAGAATTTTGACATGTGCAGTGGTATCCTCTCCACAACACGTACAAGGCCGTGCGAGGACTCGCGAGTTATGTTCCCAACTTGACTCGGGCACAGATTTCGTCTCCCACTACCCCAGACTCACAGGAAAATGTGGAGAAGGAAGACACGAGCGGAGAGACATTCGTAGAGGTCACGAGAGAGTAAAGCAGCCAGCAGCCGACCCGAGGTTAACACCGGACAATAGACGCGGCACGCGGTACAGCTTGGTAGGCTCGGCTCGCCAGCTGCCGAAGGCTTCTACTCACTCTGTTATACCTAGTAGTTTGAAACCCATACTCAATTTAACAGAGATTTAAAAAGAGTTAGATTTTCATTGTAAACATTCAATAAAAATGTATGTCTAATGAGGCCCTCGATGTGGTTACTTTCCCCCTTATTGAAGTGAAGAGTCAAAACGAGTCGTATTTGACAACATGCTGCACGTGTTAGAGATGAGGAAACATGTCCCGGTTCGATCGTACTCGAACGAAAATCGAGCTGTTTGTGATCGTTCAAACACGAACATAAGTTTGTGCATATTTAAAATGTTAGAGTACGAAAAAAAAAATTTACATACAATAATAGTAAGTGCCAACACTGGAAAATCGAGCGGACATCTTTGCTCACCTTGCCTGTGCTTTTCATTTTCATTACAGTGATAAGTAACCAAGATTAGTCCAAATTGGGTCAAATTAAAGTATATTGAAGTCAATACCAGTGAGTCGCTTACAACAAATAATCCCTCTTAAAGTTGCGACACATAGTTAAATCAAAAATCACAAAAAGAGAATTCCAGCCTCAAGCACATGTATTTTTCATAATTGTTAACTTGCTCCGCGGGGAGCTGCAAGATCTTAGTCAGTGTGCTCATTTCTCGGTGAGAAGATGGGGTAGCTGACACCCTCCACCGTATAAGTAATTCGCGTATTTCCGTCCGATGCGATGGCGGTGGACAGCAGTCCGGCCGGGCACCACCTGTCTCTTCCACTCAGTGCGCACAGCGGCACACAGAGCCAGACAAGGCCCTAGTACACTACAGGTGCTGTCCGTCAGTGACAGGTGCGGCCGTCCGCTCCAACAACCACCGAAGGAGTAGGGGCCGAATGGCCGGAAATGAGGATCATAATTAGAGTATGTATATAACCTGAGGCTGGGAGCAACGCGCCTGCCAGATGAGGGCGGAGGGGTTACGAAGGGGAAGGGGTGGAGCCGAGGGCCGCGCGCTGTCACCGACAGGCGGCGGGATGACGCGGCCACGCGACCGGCCGGAGACTAAGAGACTTCCCCGTCATCCGGGACCTTAACGGGACGCATGCGTGTGACAAGGAGAGAGCGGTTTAAGCCTCGGTGACCTCATTGTGTCAAATTAGGCTAGGAGCTCTCCATTCCATTCGGTTGTTAGCTTGAAGTTGCCGCACAACTCCATGGTCGCGGCTGGCCACGGGGCCAGGGAGCCCCTGTGTCCAATAATTTGTCATGCCGAGGGTATTCGCAGCTTTACTAAGAAGCCTCTGCCGGCGACTGCCC